CACACCAGAACGAATAAACATAAATTACATTGACCCTTAGGGAAAAATTTGCTTCGGGTCGCGACCAATTCGGGTCGCGACCAGAGTCACGGAACAAATTAAGTTCGTAAACCGAGGTTCCACTGTATTCAATAGGCTAACAGGCCTATAATTTGTAGGATCATTTCTATTTCTCCTTTTAAAGATAGGAATTACAATGGTCACTCCCCAATCATCCAATATATGTGTTGTACACAAAGTAAACAGTGATTGAGCACTGGGGATTACCGTTCAATGCTGAACTTTAATAACTTAGCTGAGATGAATTCATTGCTAGGGACTTTACCTAACTTTTGTTGCTGAATGAGTTACTTGATCTCTGTAAGTAATACTGCAGGCCATTGTTACATTAAAGATCTAAAATGGGATCTAAAGGTTACCATGTAAGATTCAAAAGTGCAATCGCCATGCCCTCACCGGAATGCAACAGGACAGTTAAGAGAGCCCATTGTTTGAATTTCTGGCTCTAATGCTCAGTAAAGTTGAGGGGTCCTTGGTTTTATAGATTCAATAAACATTGCCAACTTCAAATAGTGGGTTCCCTCTTTTTCCCCAATAACCGCTTATACTTCCTTTAGATTTCAGTTGGTAGACTGCCTTTATAGGAGTTAGAATTCATTTTGTGAGTACTGAAGGTGTCTATTAACTCTCTTTTAGCAGGCATATACTCACAATTAAGCCATTCCTTAAGAGAACAATTATACCGGCTGGTTTGGATTTTTTTCTTACTGCATAGATTTGCAGGCTTTGGACTAGCTTTTTACATGACTCCATAGTTTATGAGTCTCTATACTTGTGGCTTCATAGTTCTCTGTAACTATTATGTGGAAGGTATTACAGATAGTCCTCAGTTAACAATGATAATAGGGACCGGGAACTCCGTCTTTTAAGTGATGTGGTTGTAAAACACAATGTCACGTGACCATGCTGACTTACGACAGCAGTTCCGGTTGCGGTTGTGAAGTGAATCCAATGCAGTCATTAGATGTGATGTCATGTGATCACCATCTGCAACATCCTGCTGGCTTCCCCGTTGGCTTTGGTGTCAGAAGCTGGCAGTGAA